AATAATGCACTATAAACTAAATCCACCCAAATTTTCATTAAATTCTACCCAACGGTTAAAAAGTTAGAGCAATTTCATAGTGTGGCAATTTCATCGTAGACACCCTTTAGTGGTGTACCTATAGTTGCGGTATGGGGGTTGTGCCGGAATATTGAGGGAAACCCAGATAAGGTTATTTTCCATCGGTAGCTCTCCTAACATAAAACAGATTTGTATTTTGCAAACTTAAAATTAGCCCAAAAATGGCGGAAAACAAATGATTTTCCTTAAATGTTGACTCCTTTGCATCTATAGTTGCGGTAGTGTTCCTATAATAGTGGAACCCATAAGAAACCAATGCGTTCCACTATTATAGGAACCAAAGTTAGCAAGTAACACTACTACTGGAACAGTGTTCCTATTAATGGAGGACAAGTTTTCGAAAAATGTATACAATTTAATTACGACGTTTAATTTTTCTAGTAAAATAGAGATTGAAAGCTACAGAGTTACGTAAACAAATAGTACGTAAATCGTTCAGTTATTTTTTAATAAATAAATCTGCTTAGTTCCTCCACTACTGGCACACCCACCCTATACCGGGAAAAAATCAAACAGCAGCACAGTAAAAACTTGGTTTTAAGAGGGCTTCTTTAAAAAATGCTTCATGTCTCAATGAAAATGACAAGTTAGCAAAGTATGTCTGCAGGAAATAATGAGCCCTACATCAGATGCGCCTTTATTTGACTAAAAACTTCTCTCAACACATTAATAACATTTTTTTTTTTAGTTTATTAGAGAGATTTTTAGCCGTTGGCTAGTTCATCTCTATAAAATAGGAGCCCCAGAGGGGGGTTCTGCCTGCAATTTTTTTACGGAGTTGGCTTACAATTCACATGTACTCAAATAGAAGCAATTAAAACAGATTCCAGTAAAAAGACTAACAATACAGGCAACGAGAAAAAAACAATCTGGTACATCAATGTTATGTAGGGTTTTGGAAGAGATCAGAGCTCCACAGTAGGAGGGGTTATCCCCCGTCCGGCAGAGATGTCCCGTCAGCCAAAAAAAATTAAAATTACCTAAATGTTGTTGTATAGCCCAGCGTCCTTGAGGAAATAAATAACTGTCGCTAAAGTGGAAGGTTCGTCGCCCTTATCTTACCTTACCAATCAGGCTAAGGCCTTGTTGTCCTCTGCTGTCCGAAGAAGTCGTCTCCACTCTACTCGATCCATGGCCACAGTTCGGCAGCCTCGTAGTCTGCGAAGGGTCCGCAGGTCACCTTCTACTTGGTCGATCCACCTTGCCCGCTGCGCGCCTCTTCTTCTTGTTCCTGTTGGGTCGCTTTCTAGAACCATTTTCACTGGGTCGTCGTGCGGCATTCTTACGACATGCCCAGCCCACCGTAGTCGCCCTATTTTTGCAATGTGGACGATGGATGGTTCTCCCAGCAGCTGGTGCAATTCGTGGTTCATTCGCCTCCTCCACGTTCCGTCATCCATCTGCACTCCACCGTAGATGGTACGCAACACCTTCCGTTCGAAAACACCTAGAACGCGTTGGTCCTCCACGAGCATAGTCCAGGTCTCGTGGCCGTAAAGGACCACCGGTCTAATCAGCGTCTTGTAGACAGTCAACTTCGTGCGGCGGCGAATTTTATTCGACCGGAGTGTCCTCCGGAGTCCAAAGTAGGCACGATTCCCTGCCATAATGCGTCTTTGAATTTCTCTGCTGGTATCATTTTCGGCGGTCACCAGTGAGCCCAAATACAAGAACTCATCGACCACCTCGATTTCGTCACCGTCAATCTGAACATTGTCTTCCCTAGAACCTCTTCCTTTCATGTATTTTGTCTTTGATGCGTTGATGGCAAGTCCAATCCGTCTAGCTTCAGCCTTCAGTCTGATGTACGTTTCCGCCATCATCTCAAAGTTCCGTGCCATAATGTCAATGTCATCGGCGAAGCCAAGGAGCTGGATGGACTTCCTGAATATCGTGCCACTCGTGTCTATCCCAGCTCTTCTGATCACACCTTCTAACGCGATGTTGAACAGCAGACACGAAAGTCCATCACCCTGCCGTAACCCCCTTCGAGATTCAAAGGGACTCGAGAGTGTCCCCGATACTCGAACAACGCACATCACTCGATCCATCGTCACCTTGACCAATCGCGTCAGTTTATCCGGAAGTCCATACTCGTGCATAATCTGCCATAGCTGATCTCGATCGATTGTGTCGTATGCGGATTTGAAATCGATGAACAAATGATGTGTGGGCACGTTGTATTCGCGGCATTTCTGCAGAACCTGCCGAATCGCGAAAATTTGGTCCGTGGTAGCGCGGGCACCCATGAATCCCGCCTGGTATTGCCCCACGAACTCTCTTGCATATGGTGACAGACGGCGGCATAGAATTTGGGAGAGTACCTTGTAGGCGGCGCTCAGCAGTGTGATCGCGCGGTAGTTGCAGCAATCCAACTTGTCGCCCTTTTTGTAGATTGGGCATACGACACCTTCCATCCACTCGTCCGGTAAAATCTCCTCCTCCCAAATCTTGGCAATTACCCAGTGCAGCGCTCTAGCCAGTGCTTCACCACCGTATTTTAATAGCTCACTTGGTAGTTGATCTACACCAGTTGCTTTGTTGTTCTTCAGCCGACCGATCTCCTCCTCAACTTCTTGAAGATCAGGGGCCGGTAGCCTGTCGTCTTCTGCGCGTGCTCCAAGGTCTGTTGCCGTGCCACCTTCGTTTTCTGCTGCTTCACCGTTGAGGTGCTCGTCATAGTACTGCTTCCAGCTCTCGTCGCCCAGTATGTCCCTAATGGTGTTGGGTAGTGCGTACTGCTCCCGTAGTTGCTGGTATTGCGGACACAGGCATAAGATGTATTCCACCGATGTAGTCGTTCCGCAAACGTAGCACATTCTGTGGAACTGCGTCCCACCAAAACTATGTGAGATCCTTGTATGGCCTGTCCTAAGCCGAGAAACCACCTTCTGGTCCCGTAGTTTCGGCATATCCGTCCACTTGCTCGTCGTTCCTTTGATTCTTCGGTTGAAGAGGGATTGGAATTGGCACCACTCTGCTTCCAAGGCTTCCCACATTTTGCTGACTATCCATCGCTTTATGTCCTGTAGTGGCACTGAGAATAACTAATCTTTGTGCACTTTTTAGATTTCCCTGAAATTTATTTATTTATTCGTCAATCAAAACCGTAGACTACATAATAACATTATAACTTATGATCTATGATTTCGCAGTGTTTGGAAATATTTTTTTTTCAGTTTTAGGGGCGACATATTTAGGTCTATCATTTCACAGTGTAGATTATAAACAGACATATTCCGATTTATCGGTCCATATTTCGCGTAGTTAGTGCGGTGACGATCTACCGCGAACAAATGTCGATTGACGAGAAGGTACATAAAAATTAAGTCTTGATAATAAATAAGCTGAGTCAATGCGTTGCGAAGCAATATTGTTCACGGAAGAGACCATAGCATAATCTCGACGCTCTTTCAATGACTGGAATGTTGATTAACAAGCAACGAGCTTCATAAGATGGGAGAGTAAATTCTGTCCATCCCAATTTACGTAGTGCATATAATAAAAATTGCCTTTGGATTGACTCTATTCATTCTTTGTGCCTTTTCATATAAGGTGACCAAACAACACTGCAATATTCTAATATTGGCCTCACATAGGCAACATATAGTGTTTTAATTGTGTAAGGATATTGAAAGTGTAAACCAAAACGCTTTATAAAATTAAGCATATTGCCTGCTCTATGAATAATTGTGTTATAATGATCCACAAATGTTAGTTAAGAATCTAGAATAACTCCTAAATCTCTTATTTTATCACAACTTTGAACAATTTGATTACCTAATGTAATACGAATATCTGGCTTTATTAGTTTTCTACTGTAAGTTATAATATAACATTTTTTAACATTTAGTTCCAACAAACTTTTACAACACCACGTATAAAAAACATGTACTTCATTCTTGTGTGTGAATAATAGGTTTGTTACTGTTCTTGCTTTCCAGTAAAATTCTGTACAGCAAAACAGGAAAAGTAAGTACTTTCTGCATCATATGATTTTCTTACACCAATAACTTACCTATACCAAAAGCAAAAAAAAAACAAGTCCTAATAATTATAATTGATTTGTAATTTTACCGCAATAAATCCGCTAAACGCTTAACGATTTTTTGAACATCCCAACACAAACGCCCAGAATGCAGACGATAATTGTGTTTCTATTAATACCTACATCATCGCAGCACTGAACAACTAAATAAATTAAATCTCCAATGAGAGAAGCTTACCGATTCCAAAAACGACTAAACTTCACCCGTGAGACCATATGCCGCAATAACCTAGGCAAGGATCTCCACGTACGATTCACACATCACGCGATTTACCCGCGATATTTGAGTTTTAGGGGGTTGCAAAATCACTCAACCATGCCATTCCGTCCACCACCGACCGGTGAGCGCAACTTTGAGAACCAACCGTTCGACATAATACATACCTAGGGTAGACTCTTCGCCTCAGTTTCATTCACATTCTCTATTCTGTAACGGAAATGTAGATGACGGCGAGGGTGGTCGCCCTCTACCGACACGTGTAAATTTACAAATATCTCGGGGCATCCAAACCACCCTAGTATCGCTGGCTGGCTGAATCGAATTTGTTGATTTCCGAATCAGAAAAAAAAATGTGTGTGTACCTCCAAAAATGTGGCTCCAGGGCTTTCGTCATACTGCTACCGTCACGTCGCGTCGTAGGTTGTTACGAGGTTACACAGAAGCCAGGTCAGGTATGCGAGCCCGCCTGATCAACCCCAATACTGTAGGCTCAGTCGGTGTTCGTCGGTCGCGCGGTTCACATCGGCCGAAACCGGGAAAAACGTTCGTTCCTTTTGACGGTTTGACGCCAGGCAGAGAGGACCAGGTGTAGAGGACTGCTCCAGTTTGTTTGGTCGGTTCGCAGCAGTTACTGGCTGTAAGTGCTTCCGCGTGTGTATATTATGAATTGTATTTTTTTTCGTATCGTTAGATTACAGATAGCCTTATTAGTGGTGCAGATGAAATTTTCGGCAGAAGAGTAAAAACAGAAACAGTGTTTTTTTTTTGTGAAGGTCAGACTGACGGGTGTGTTTGTGTGAAACCCACAATATCTAAAGAAGAAAAACAGCGGCAGTAGAATAAGGTTATTGATTGTGGTGCTATCGGTGTGCTGCCATAACGATTTTATTTTGGAATAAGGTCAGCCGAGAGTGAAAGTGTTTGCATATCTAATAGGGGTTGGCGTGCGTTGGGCTACATTGGATTCTAGACAGCTTGGACAACTAGGGTAACGATCCCATAAATATGGGTGGAGGCTCCGTATTTCGCCCATTTGGTGCATGCTTATTGAAATACGTTTAATGGAAAACAAATTTAAGGTATTCCTGACCCATTAGAATTGCATCATAAGATAATACTGATTTTATATCTTACTAATTACACTGAGCAACAAATCTGACTTTTTTTTCTAGGACTGAGAAAGTTGACCATATTTGACTTTCTTGTGGACCCCTGAGCAAAAGTCCTGAACATACCTATACCCTAACACGTCCTTATTTTTTGGTACCACCCTCTTTATGAATTTTAGTATGTTGTCCCGATGTCGGTTGTATAGTACCTAACTAAAGCATGTTACGGCATTGCCGTCCAAGAGTTTTTTGTTGGAAATGACTTGAGAAACATTTTTTTAGAACATTTAAAAACGGTATCTCGTTGTCTTACCCCTCGTTTGGGTGATTTTTCATACTGAGTATCCCCCTAAAAATCTAGAATTCATGTAAATTCACTGTAAAAAACCATAGTATGTGCTGTATGTTGAGATTTTCATAAAGTAATTATTTTAACAACTTATAAGAATGAAAACACTTTAAATGCGATGATTTTAATGATACTTTATTGTTATTTTATTCAATTTAAAAATATTATTGGTCTTTCCAGATTATAAGAATAACACAACTTTCTAGGACTGAGAAAATTAATCATATTTGACTTTCCTGTTGTCCCCTGAGTAAAAGTCTAGAACATACTTATATCCTAACACGTCCTAATTTTTTGGTACCACCCTCTTTATGAATTTTGGTATGTTGTCCCGATGATGGTCGTGTGCTGCCTAAACTAAACATGTTACGATATTGCTGACGAGAAGTTTTTTGTAGGAAACAATTAGAGGAACATTTTTCTAGAATATTTAAAAACGATATCTCGCCGTCTTACCCCTCGTTTGAGTTATTTTTCAAATTGGACACCCCCCCTCAAAAATCTACAATACGACCATTATACATACTATTATTCCTCATTTTGGTGATTTTTCTTATGAAGTACTCACTCAAAGATCTAAAGTTAAGGGAAATGCTCAATAAACATATAAACATATATATATATATATATATATATATATATATATATATATATATATATATATATATATAGTTTATTAGGATGCGCTCAGATTTCTGGTTATAGGCAATTTCTTTAGCTTTAAGGAATGAAAAGATAAGTGGCCTTCATGCTTTTTTGTTTTTATTACGATATAAACCAAAATTGCAACTATTAATTACTCGGCTTCAAATAAGTTCCAGCATTATTCTGCCAATAGAGATGCCAACTTTTTTCCTGCATACCAAGCTTCAAATGGTGCAGCAATCTGATGGAATCTTTCGCCGTGTTCATCGGTTTCGGTTCTCAATTGTTTTTCGAGTTGATCGAGATGGCAATGAAGGAAATGGATTTTTAGGGACATATGCACATTTATATCGTTGAACGCGATTATCATACTCTCAATAATTGATCGGAATCTTGAAGACCGATTTGTTCCAAGAAAATTATGAATCACATCTTTAACGCATCTCCAGGCAACTTGTTCCTTTAGCAAAAGATTTTTTTTTTAACTCTTTATTTGTTCCAAATTTAAAATAAATTACATTTCATTTTAACCTAGGTGCTCCAGTTACTACAGTAACTTACCAGCCTTACTTGTTATGATATATATATCTATGTGTTTTTACATTGTTTCTGCCTTGGCAATTCAGGTTTTTTAAACCTGCATGTCAGAATAACAATTGAAATCTTAAAACTAAAAACTAAAACTAAATCTTATCTAGGTATAAAGGGAATTAATCGTTGCAATTGAGGATTGCAACGATTTTTGCCTGAAATTATTAATTATTTTGTTGGACATTTGTTCTAAAGTCTCAACATTCGAAATTCTATGTACTTCAGTAGTACTGTACCAGGGAGGCAACTTCAAAATCATCTTCAGAACTTTGTTCTGAATCCTTTGAAGTGCTTTTTTCCTGGTAGTGCAACAACTAGACCATATTGGCACAGCGTAAAGCATGGCCGGTCTAAAAACTTGTTTAAATATTAGAAGTTTATTCGTCAGGCAAAGTTTGGATTTCCTGTTTATAAGAGGATACAAACATTTTATATATTTGTTACATTTGGCTTGAATGCCCTCAATGTGATCTTTAAAAGTTAATTTTTGGTCAAGTACTAATCCAAGATATTTCACTTGGTTTGACCAGGAAATTGGAATTCCGCTCATAGTGACTATGTGACTACTACTAGGTTTCAAAAAGGAAGCTCTAGGCTTATGTGGAAATATTATAAGTTGAGTTTTGGAAGCGTTGGGAGAAATCTTCCATTTTTGTAAATAAGAAGAGAAAATATCTAAACTTTTCTGCAGTCTGCTGCAAATAACACGAAGACTTCTTCCTTTAGCGGAAATGCCTGTGTCATCAGCGAACAAAGATTTGTGGCAACCCTGAGGCAAATCAGGGAGGTCCGAAGTGAAAATGTTATACAATATAGGCCCAAGAATGCTACCCTGAGGAACTCCTGCTCTAACAGGTAGTCGATTAGATTTGGAATTTTGATTATTTACCTGCAGAGTTCTGTCAGTTAAATAATTTGAACTAATTTCATAATATTAAGTGGAAAATTAAACTTTTTCAATTTAGCAATCCAACCTTCGTGCCAAACACTGTCGAATGCTTTTTCTATGTCTAGAAGAGCAACTCCAGTTGAGTGGCCTTCAGATTTGTTTGAACGAATTAAATTGGTGACTCTTAAGAGTTGATGAGTAGTTGTATGCCCATGGCGAAATCCAAACTGCTCATCTGCAAAAAATGAGTTCGTATTGATTTGATGCATCATTCTATTTAAAATTATCTTTTCAAAAAGTTTACTTATTGAAGAAAGCAAACTTATTGGACGGTAGCTAGAAGCTTCAGCTGGATTTTTATCCGGCTTCAAAATTGGAACACTTTTAGCATTTTTCCATTTATCAGGAAAGTATGCCAAATGGAAACATCTGTTAAATAATTTTACCAAGAAAGACAAGGTACTCTCTGGGAGTTTTTTGATGAAGATATAGAAAATTCCATCATCACCTGGAGCTTTCATATTTTGAAACTTTTTAGTTATAGACCTTACTTCGTCCAAATCAGTCCCCCAGGAATCATCAAAAATATTTTCCCGAGAGAAAATATTCAGATAATCCCGAGCCACCTGATCCTCAATAGGACTAGTAAGACCCAAACTGAAATTATGGGAACTTTCGAATTGCTTAGCAAGTTTCTGAGCCTTTTCCAAATTTGTGATCAAAATTTTACCACCTTCTTTAAGCGCTGGAATAGGCTTTTGAGGTTTTTTTAAATTTTTGTGAGTTTCCAAAAGGGTTTGGAACTCGGGGCTAATTTAGAAACATTATTTTCAATTATTTTTAACTTGTTTTTGCAAATCCCGCCAGATAACTTTCATGGCAGGATCGCGTGTTCTTTGATATTGTCTCCTACGGACATTTTTAAGACGGATCAAGAGCTGAAGATCGTCGTCTATTATAATTGAATCGAATTTAACCTCGCATTTTGGTACTGAGGCAGCTCTTGCTTCAACTATAGAAGTAGTCAGAGATTCAAGAGCATAATTAATTTCATCTTTGGTTTGCAAAGGAATGTTTGGATCGAAGTTATATTCCATAATTGTTCGATATTGCTCCCAATCAGCTCTATGGTAATTGAAAGTAGAGCTGTTGGGATTAGAAATTATTTCTTGGGATATTTCAAAAGTTACTGGAAGGTGATAAGAACCGAAGTCAGCATGGGTATCCAATTGGCTACAAAGTTGACATGAATCAGTTAAGACCAAATCAATAGTTGAGGGATTTCTTGATTTCTTTGGTTTCAAATGAAGAAAGAATTTTATGTTTGATTCGTCTGATGATGAACAATGATGGCAACGCCACCACACGGTCCATCAAGACGATCATTTCTATAAATTAAATAATTTGAGTCCTTCTTAACCTTATGGTCGGGTTTAAGGAACGTTTCAGTTATAACGGCAATATGCACGTTATGAACTCTCAAAAAGTTAAATAGCTCGTCATCATTATCTTTAAGAGATCGAGCATTCCAATTTAAAACATTTAATGCTTTAAAATCCATTACTGAATTTTAAAGTCATGACAATATTATTTGCAAATTTTACCCCAGTTTGAATAGCATCAAACATGGAGTTAGATCATAAAGGGATTCCGTTAAGAGGTTCGACAAATTTAAAGGATGACAATATTATTTGCAAATTTTACCCCAGTTTGAATAGCATCAAACATGGAGTTAGATTTAAGCATATCAGAAATCATATCAATTAATGATTTCTGTAAAAAATCCATTTTAGGGGCAGTAATGCTTCCTAAGTCAAAATTGTCAAAATTTCCGTTAGAATTACGTTGGTTAGTATTTTGATTTCTACCCGCTGCAATAGCAGCATAGGTAGCTCCATTAACTCGCTGAACATTGTTAGCAGCAAGGGGAGTAGGCAAAGATGAAAAATTTGAAGCAGGGGTGATATTTGTACCCACGGGTACGAATGTACAATTTGTTCCTCGCTGACCGTTTTTAACAGCAGAGTAATTTGTACCTGGTCGGAAACGTGGAGCGTTTTCTACCTGTCGCTTAGAACGAGATTGAAGGATCGCTTTGCGAGTCTTACATTCCCAAAAATTGGATTTGTGGTTTTCACTATAATTTGAACATTTAAATTTCTTAGGATCTTCCTTCACAGGACAGTCGTCCTTTGCGTGAGAGGAATCACCGCAATTCATGCATTTAGCTGGCATGTAGCAATTTTTATTTCCGTGTCCCCATCCCTTGCACTTACGGCACTGGGTGAGGTTTTGGAAATTTTCTCCAGTCTTCCTA